TGTCGACCAGCCTTGGTTGCATGCCAATGCTATTACTAGTCGAATAGTCTCTAATCTTGCTACTGGAGCAAATAATTCAGAGTAGTCTAGTTCTACTCTTTGAAGAAAACCTTGAGCTACTAATCTTTCTTTATGTCTTGCTATCGACCCATCAGTATTATGTTTCAACTTGAACACTCACTTTACTTTGATAGCTTTTGTATGTGATGATAATTCGACTAACTCTCATGTGTTGTTTCTTTCGATTACATGTAACTCTTTGACCATAGCAGACTTCCAATGTTTAATCTTCAAAGCCTCACTATAGTTTATTGGTTCAGCACCTGCCAGTAAAGAAAATTGAACTGATTTTCCATTTGGTGTTACTTCATCATCACTAGTTACTTCATAGTCTTGAAGTCTCGCTGGAGGAGCTCTAGTTCTTTGAGGTCTTTGGCTTGTGCTAGCCACACACTCTTTGACTTTGACATTTTCTGGAATGTGAGTAACTGCTTCGACTTTGACTGGAATATTTGCAATTTCTTTTACTTCGAATTCATCAGTTTCTTCATCAAAACCATAGCTCATCAATGGCTTGTTAATTGCATCATGAGAATTCCAATCTCAGGCAGAATTTTCATCAATCACAATGTCTCGACTTAACACAATCTTCTCATTAATTGGACTGAATAGCATGTATGTATCAGTCTTATGATATCCTACCAGAATCATAGATTCGCTCTTGTCATCAAGCTTCCTTCTTCTTGCATCAGGAATATGCTTGTAGCACATAGAGCCAAACACCTTCAGATGACTTACTGATGGTTGTTTTCCATTCCATACTTCTTCAGGTACTTTGTTCTTCAATTTCTTGGTAGGGCACCTGTTCAAAATATAAACTACAGTCGAAACAACTTCTCCCCATAAAGATTTTGAAAAATTCTTCCGCTTCAGGATGCATGTCGCCATATCAAATATGGTTTTGTTTCTTTTTTCTGCAATTTCATTATGTTGAGGCGTATAAGGAGCAGTTACCTCATGATCAACACTATGTTCTTCACAGAAATCTTCATACATCTTAGATGTGTATTCACCATCTCTATTTGTTCGAAGAACTTTGATCTTCTTCTCACTCTGGTTTTCGACAAGTATCTTGAATCTCTTAAATATTTCAAATACTTTCGCTTGATCACATAGATCCAGAGCTTTCGACTAAACTCATTGAAAAACGAAATAAAATATTTGTTTTCACCAATGGTATGTTCTTCGAATGGGCCACATACATCTGAATGTACAACTTAAAGTATGCAAGATGATCTTATTGGCATAGTCGAAACAAAGGAATTTCTGGATTATTTTCCGACTAGACAACCTTCACAGAGTTTGTCAGACATCTCAAGATTTGGGATACCAGTTACCATATCTTGAGTAATTAGATAATTGAGTGATCTAAAGTTCAAATGTCCAAACCTCAAGTGCCACAATAAACTATCCCTGTGGTCGACAATGGTTTTCAAACATTGAACTTATGTCGAACTGATCATAGTCTTAAACGTCCTGTTCTTTGACAGAGGAGATTTCAAGACCAAATTGTTATGGGTGTCGAACAATTTTAAAACTTCATCTTCCATGACAACTGAGAAACCTTTTTCGACCAGTTATCCAACACTTAACATGTTGCATTTCATTCCAGGTACATAGAGTACATCTTTGATCATAGTTTTCCCTTCATTACTCATTTGAAAAATTATGTTGCCAGTACCTTCTGCTTGCAACAAACTATTATCATCAAGTTTTACCTTGCTCTTCTTCGACTCGTCGAAATATGCCAACCACACCTTTTGACCAGTCATGTGATTCGAGCAGCCAGAGTCAAGGAACCAGATCTTAGATTCGACACAGTTATCTGCTACTGCAACCATAACCATTATACCTTCATAATCATCTGAGTATTGGCATGCAAGGTTCACTCATTCGTCCTTGCCTTTTATTGATCCCTTGTCTTTCCTGTACCAACAATGTTTAGCTAAGTGACCCCACTTTTCAAAGTTGTAGCACTACACACCTTTTTTATCTTCTTTTTCCTTTTGATAGTTTCCTCCTCCTCTTTTAGAGGATTCAGAAGTCCTATCATTGACCTTATTCTTGTGGGGATTCGACCAAGACTTCTTGCCCTGAGTCTTGTCGAAATTTTCTTTGAATTTGTTAGAGCCTCCATTCTTTTTTCATGATTGAGCCTGCAGTGCTTGTATCGAGTCTTGAACTCCCTTCCTTTTGAAAATCCTAATCTCACGCGCTTCCAATGAACCAACCAAATCTTCTAGTTTTAGGGTTTCAAGCTGATTGGATTCTTGAATAGCTACGATAACGTGATCAAAGTGAGAGGTTAAAGTACGCATTACCTTCTCAACTATCATCTTATCAGTTAGAGTTTCACCATAACCCTTCATGAGATGGACAAGTTTCTGCACCTTCTACATATACTCTGCAATCTTTTCGTCTTCTTCCATCGACAACAATTCATATTGTCGATGCAAGGTCTGCAACTTGACAACCTTGACAAGAATATCACATGCCTCCTTCGCCTATTTAGCATGAGAGTTCGTGTCGAAGTTCGTCGTATCAACCAATGTTTGAATGCAATATGCAACCTTGCAATCCTTCTTCTTGGCTTCGTTGTGTGTTGTTTTCTGTGCGTCGATTGCATCTGCAGCCAGTACAAAAACGTCATTGGTAACCACTTCTAGGATTTCATGAAAGCCAAATAGAGATTGTATATGTTTTCTCCATCGAATCCAATTCTTACCGTCAAGAGTTGGAAGAGAATTCGTAATGTTATTGTTGCCATTCATCTTTGCAGTGATTGCTAGTGAACAACCCACAATCCCGGAAATATGATCTCTGACGTGCGACTCTCGAAAACACAATCAAGAATCTAACTGGAGCTCTGGATATCAATTTGTTAGTGCGTGAGGCACTTTTAATGAGAGAAAGAGAGAATAAAGGAAATCATGATTGTATTATTAAATTGAATTGTACAAATAATGATACAAACTATGACTATTTATATACACCTAGCTTATACACTAAGTAGGCTAACAAACTCTAATTGGGTTTAGACTTGGGCTTAGGTTACATAACTTGGATTAGGTCTAATATCTCTACAGAATTCACTATGTGCTTTATTATTGAGAATTTCTTTGTACACCTCTTATGGGTGGGGAAAAACCCTTGAAAACTCAAAAATATCCTTCGGAGATGCATCTCCAAACGCACCCTAAATCAAGGTGTTTCAGAGATGTATCTCTGAAAACACCCAAAAATATCAAATTTTGGGATGAATACAGAAATACATTTCCGAAATCTGAAAACACCCTATTTTTCTTTTTTTTCTCTCTTCTTTCTTACATTTAGTTCTTTATAAACTACAATATATTTTATATATTTTTTAAAAGGTATTTAATTCATTTGTTTATGGGTTTTATTTTGGCTGATATATCTGGTGATTGAGTTTGAGTTAAATGGTTGTCTTACTCTGTAGCATTTTATTTATAATAAGAATGATTTTCAATTCAATGTTTATGTATTTCTTATCAATTAAATATCTTTGAATGAATAGTAGTTAGCAGTCAATTGTTACATAATCTGAGAATTAAAATTAGTTTTGATCCTAATTATATTCGGTAATCGTTGTTCTGCTATCTAAAAACAATGCTAGAAAAATATTGGATTCGCCTAAAACTTGATGTTTATTTCGGGTACCAAAAGTTTAATAATCATAATTCTATACAATTTGGTATCTTTGGAAATACATATCCGAATACACCTTGATTCTAATTTTTTTAAACAATCAGTGAATGTTTCGAAATTCTACTTCCGAAAACACCCTATTTTTTGTTAAAAAAATAAGGGATTGTTTCGGAAGTGTATTTTCAAAACCTTCTATTTTTGGTCTATTTCGAAAATGTACATCCGAATTCATCCAAAAAAATGAAATTGCGTAAATTCGAAAAATACATTTTCGAAATCACCCCATAAAAAATTAAATTTCGTAACTTCGAAAATACACCTCCGAAATAACCTTAGAAAAAATAAATAGTAGTGCGTTCGTAGATACATCTCCAAATTTTGAAGATAAAAAAGAAATTTCGTCAGAGATAATTAAGAAGATATAAGGGTGGGGAAAGAAATTTCCTTATTATTGGTCTAGAATCAAAATAATGTAATTTAGTGGGCCATTGATGTTACATTACATTGAAAAAGAAAAGAGAAAAGCTGGTATATCAAATCTCAATATCATAAAGTAATTATTATGCAGTTGTTTTGTTCTGTGTATCTGAATTATTTCATCTTCTTTTTCATGATATTGAGAATAAACCAGAATATCTAACAGTAAAGCTTCTACTGATTTGGTATCCAATAAATGCAAAGCATAAGTTGACTCAATAAAATCTATTATCATAAACTACATGAGGAGACTGAATAAATAATAACTAAATGCATAATAGAAAAACATAAATGTGCTATCAGAATCATATAGTTTCCATATATGGTTGTACATAATATTATAGCATAGAAATCTTCATCAAGAAGGGTTATATATAACCTTAGTATAGTCTACCCTAACCTTTGGAGCATTAATAATTAACATTATAATACAAGATCTTAAGCATAATATATATGTCACACCACATAACAGGAAAAAGAGAAAACATTAATGTTGTAAGAATTTGTTTTTTTATATCAATATGATGGACATCAACCAGGTGTAATTCACTATATAAAACATATATAAAACATAGTTTTTTTCTGGCGGGGGGTAGGGAGAATATGAATATGTAGACTAAATTTGATTCGCATAACTCAAATTATTACTGATATCTATGTGTGAGACTGAGTATAACACCAGACACAAACACATGTGTTTACATTTAACCACTCCTAGTATTTTCAAATTATTATTGACATATCCGTGTGAGTATCAATGTCGTGTAAATTAAGGGAACATATTATCCCCTAAATCACATATTCAAGTAGTTTAGCCCAAAACCAAGAGGAAACAAAGGTTCACAAGAAGCAACTCCATCACTTGGTCGATCGAGCTCTTTAACACTTCTAAACCAAGTAACTGGAAGTTGACCTTTGAAGTCATGGCTACCAAAGATAACATCTGTGATTCCATTTCCTTCGGTACCTGGCAACCAAGCAGCAACAAGAGCATCTATCTTTGCCAAAAGCCATGGCTCTAGAACTAAAGGTCTTCCAGATATCAAAATAACGAGTGTTGGGATTTTGTCGGCAACTAAGCTTATGATATCGGTTCCATTGAAAGGGATTGTGAGCTTTGAGTTGTCACCTAATGATTCTGCGTACGGAGATTCACCAACAGCTACAATTGCAAATGAGAACTCGTTACGCTCTATGGTGTCTTTTGAAGGATACTTCTCGTAAATAACTTCTGTTTCAGCTCCCACGGCTTCCTTAACTGCGTCCAAGATTGTTGTTCCTAACATTGTAAGGTATAAGTCAATGTGATTATGTGACAACCATGTATAACAAATAAATATCTTAATATAGTTGTGACTTGTGAAGCAAGTGTTCTCAAACTTTAGGCGTCGACACACATTTGAAAAACCAATAAATATCATAGTCATAGCTTACCAACTGTAATCCTCCCACTACCGCCATACCAAGTTTTAGTCCAACCTCCGCATTGATATCCAAGATTGTCGGCATGAGTTCCGGCAACAAGAATTCTTTTGGCATTCTTGTTCAATGGAAGAAAAGGCTCACTAATATCTTTTCCATTTTTCAACAGAACCAAGGACTTTCGAACCGCTTCACGTGCTAGATCTCTATGTGGCTGCAGAAGAATTATTTCGGTAAAACAAAGTCATGATACAAACAAACAATTAATAAGGGAACATAGAAATGTTAAAATGTGCTATGTTTTCACTTACTTTGCAACCAACTATATCTAGCAAAGATCGGTCACTTAAAGGATATTCAAAAAGACCAGCAACGAACTTTACTCTCAAAATTCGCTCAACAGCATCGTCGATTCTGCTCATTGGTACTTCCCCTGATTCAACCAAAGAGGTCATTTCTTCGATGAATAGTTTGTACCTTAAAGCCACCATCACCTGCATATGTAATTGAATATGTGAAAACAGATTAAAAATTGTTATGATGAAAGATTCTTTGAACTGAAGATCTGTACCATGTCAATTCCAGCATTGACGGCTGAGGAGATGCAATATCGATAATCTGACCCATGAGGTTTACAAAGTCGGTCGAGCCCCTCCCAGTCGGAAATAACAAAACCCTATAACAACAACAATATTGTAGATTACAAAAATGTTAAAATCAAATCAAGAAGTAAAAGGAAATGAGTTACAATTCACATAAGATCCTTTTAGACTTGAAGTGAGGACAATATCAATTCCTAATCATATAAGGTATGTTTGGATTGACTTATTTGAGTTTATCTACTAGAAAAACACTTGAGAGACTGTTGAGAAGAGCTTATGAAAACAACTTATGTCTATAAGCTATTTCACGCTTATTTCTTTAAGCCCTCTATGATAGCTTATGAAAACAACGTATAGATTATATGAAAACAATTTGACTTTATTTCATCTTTTGTTATAGAAATAATTATACATAAACACTTATATGCTATAAGTGATCAATTATGTTATTTATCCAAACAAAACCTTAGTCAAGGAAGCTCTTATAGCATGTCAAGGGACAACAGACAAAGCATAAGCTATTAGGCCGAGGCTCATGATAAGAAAACACAAAGACCCGTCACCTTTTCAACAAGAACGAAAGAAGAAAAAACAGATAAAAGATTTCAGCATTTGTCCATAACATGCAAAAATAGCTCCTAATATTGTGAAAACTCGGGTTACATAATTCAGATTTCTGAAGCATATTGGTGCAAAAAATACTTGACGATATAGCCAAATATAGACCATCAGTAATTTTACCTTAAACCCTAACTTTTCTTTCAAGACTTCGGTTAAAAGAAAACGGTCAGCATGGAGTTTGCGTCCATTCCAACTCGTATAGGATGCCATAATGGTTGAAACTCCCTGGGAAATGCAGTCTAAATAAGGTGCCATGTGTATTCTCTCTAAGTCTTCATAGGACAATATAGTATTTCCCTCATTCACACCCTTATGAGTACCTCCATCACCAACAAAATGCTTGGCACAGGCAACAACATTGTTCCTGGGGTAAAACTTAAGCATAAAGTAAATACCGATAAAAATATATAAATTGTTATCAGAACTGTAATAGTTATTTTTTCAATAGTTTGAAACTAGAATGTTTTTGTTGACACTTATATGAATAAGTGTTTTTTTCCTACCTTCCAGCCACAAAAGGGTATCCGTGTTCATGTCCTTGCGGCGGCTGACCTTGCAAACCTGAAACCATGGACGTCATCTTTCTGACAATTTCAGTGTCTTCACTATAACACTCATAGGATCTTCCCCATCTAGGATCTTTGCAGACCTGTATATTTAGCCTACTAAATCACATTTCTTTATTGTCTAGATAGAGATTAAACTTTTAATAATTGATTCAATCATTAAGAATTAATTGAAAAGTCCGGGACTACTGGGAAGTGTTTCCATTTTCAAGGAAAAACACATGATGTGGTGTTCACCAACGAACATAAAAAAAGTAACAAGTGTAGCCAGGAAGAGAACTAATTTGCTTGCAAAATTCAGTATATAAAATGCTTGCAGAAAATGAAGCGTCCGAGCAATGCAATCTTGCAAAAGCAGCATATGATATGTAGTTTGTTACCACAATTCATCCACGCATAGAAAGGCTAGTTGATTGCAAATTGCAATGCCTTACCGCTACACAAGGTGCAAAGTTATAGTGCATTCCACTTGCTTTAACTTCAAGCGCCGTAGCAGCTCCAATTCTCCGAACTAAATCAGCATCTCTACAGAAGCATGTCATTCAAGAATGTCAAGAACTGATCCTGAATTACAACAGCATTATCTTCTCATTAGACTAACATATTTCTGTTTTAGTTTACTTTCCTCTCTTCAAAATTAGAGAACCACATTCAAATGTGTATATTTGATTTTGTGTTTGGAGCAACTAGAATTGATTTCTGGACATGTAGAATTGACTTTTAGCGAGAATCAATTCACTAAAAATGAATTGTTTTCACGGCAGAACCTACTAATTGAGTTAAAAAGCAGGCCATTAAGCAGAAGAGAAAAAATGAACTAACCTAGTAGCACCAAGGCCTAGATTGTGAGGAAAAATGGTAGCAGCATAAACACTATTATTACCATGAACAGCATCAATCCCATAAATGAGAGGAATCCCAAGTCTAGAGCCAAGAGCTGATTTCTGATAGGCATCCACCATATCAGCCCAATCTGAAGAGAGTGCATTCTCAAAAGGGGCACTGCCACCAGAACTGAGTATGCTGCCTAGAGAAGCAACAAGCAGAGATTATAATGGGAAATGATCAAAGTTTGAAACTTTAAGAGAAAGAGTGAAACGGGGTTGTTGGAATAGATACCAATGGAGAGGTCTCTGATGACAGAAGAGGTGGCAACAGTGCGCTCGATTTGGGTCATCTGAGCAATCTTTTCATGGAGAGTCATGCGAGAAAGAAGGTCTTTGATACGAGCTTCGATGGGTTGGTTGGGATTTTTGTATAGGCAATCCATGACTTGTATTCACTTCGGAGTTTGGAGATGGAATCCTCTTATATCATGTAGCGCAAATTGGAGTAGTTAGAGAGAGGTTACATTCACATCATCGAAAGATTATCTTAAATTAGTCAATGCTTGGTTTAGCAATTTCAAAGCGCTTCGCATAATCAATTATAGAAAACAGAATTAATTATATTTTACAGGAATTAAACATTTCAAAATCATTTTTAAATCGAGATTTTCATTACTTTAATTATTATCTTTTGAAATTTAAAAAATTTATATTTAATTTATCATATTTTTAAAAAATTTAAAATTTGATAAGTAAACATTTTATAATATTTTAAATACATATAAAAAAATTATTCAAAAATTTAAAAATTTAAAAATAATTAAATAATTTTAAAAATTTTTAAAAATAACAGAGACTAAAACTGTATTTGAATAAATTTTTTATAGAGATTAAATATGTCATTTTTTTAATAAAGACTAAAAATGAAATTTGAGATATTTATATGAATCAAAAATATATTTAATCTTTAAAATATAAAATAAAGCTAATGAATTTGTAAAATTATATTATTAAATTGTAAAAATGTAGTCACGAAACCAATCCATTAAGCATTAGTAAAATATCGGCCCACCATTTAAGTTATGTGATTTCGTATTTCATCTCATGCTAAAAAGAAATACCCTTGGTAATTTTAAAATTGTTTCTCGAAATCGAAAATATATTTTCGGTTTTCATCATATATTTAAAAAAAAAAAAGGTCAAATGTGATTTCACTCTTCAAAATATAAAAACAAAATCGAAGATATTCTCCCGGTTCTGTTTATATTATGAATTGTATTTTGAGTTTGTGATATTGGTGTTATTCATGTTGGTGTACAAGGAAGATAAAAGGCAAAAAGGAATATTTACTGACAACTTCAAAATAAAGATTTACAATTAGTTACAATAACATACTCCACTAGACTATTTATACACAAAATTAAATCTAAAATATATCTTCTAACAAAGAAATAAACAATCTAAAAGATATTCCTAAATATAAATTAATATCTAATTAATTATAAAATCTAAATTAATTCTAACACTGTCCCTTAATTTATATTTACCCAAAACTGATAACACTAACTTTATCCCTTAAACCAAGAAATTGATCAGTTTTGATAACCTTTGCCAAAACATCTGTCAGCTGCTTCTGAGTGCTACAGTGCACAACTTCTAAAATTCCATTCTGAACTTGATTCCTAAGAAAATGATACTTGATCTCAATATGCTTGCTTCTCCCATGCAACATTGGATTCTTGGCAAGATTGATTGCAGACTTGTTATCAATCATCAGCTTCAGAGGTTTATTTACCTCAATCTTCAGATCTTTCAGCAAGTTCAGAATCCACACAGCTTGACACGCAATCAGAGCGCCTGCAATATATTCAGCTTTACAAGTTAACAAAGCAACAACAGGTTGCTTCTTGAAACACCAAGAAATACGACCTCCCAGAAATTTGAATGAGTATCCAGAAGTACTTCTTCTGTCAACTCTATTTCCGCACCAATCAGAATCAGAATAACTCAGAAGTTCTAATTCGATCTTTCTTTCAGACAAAAATAACACTCCATATTTCAGAGTTCCTTTCGCATACCTCAGAATCCTGACTGCAGCTTGATAATGAGACCACTTTGGTTTACTCATAAATCTGTTAACCATTTCAACTGCATAGCAAATATCAGGTCTGGTATTACACAAATACCTCAGAGAACCAACTATCTGTTTGAAGGTTGTAGCATCCACATCCTCTCCATCAGAATCAGAGTCCAACTTCTGATTCGTATCAGCAGGTGTGATAGCAACTTTGCAATTCTCTATCTCAAATCTCTTTAGAAGCTCTAGTTCATACTTCATATGATGCAAAATGATTCCTTTCTCAGAGTACATAAATTCTATACCTATAAAGGAACTCATTTTCCCAAGATCTGTCATCTCAAATGCATTCATCAAAACTTTCTTGAACTCAGCTATCTCTTATTCAGAACTTCCTATGAGTAATATGCCATAAACATACAAATAGACCAGAATCATATTACCTTCTGAAGTGTGCTGAACATAAACACCATACTCCATCTCACACTTCTGAAACCCTTGTTCCTTGAAAAACAAATCAATCTTCAAATTCCAAACTTTAGGCGTTTGCTTAAATCCGTACAATCCTTTGTGTAATTTGAACACCATCCCTTCCTGATTCTTTTTCTCAAATCCAGGAGATTGTGAAACGTACGCCTCTTCTTGTAATGGACCATTTAGAAATGCAGATTTTACATCTAAATGCATTAGAGTCTAATTCCTGTTAGCAACTATTGCAATCACTAGTCTGATTTTTTCATGTCTCGCTACAAGTGCAAACAATTCAAAGTAATCCAGCCCAGGCTTCTGTAGAAATCCTCTTGCTAATAATCTCGCTTTGTGTTTGCCAATTAATCCATCTAGCTTTATCTTCTACTTAAAAACTCATCTGACGCTGATGGCTTTCTTGCCTTTTGGAAGTTCTGTCAGCTTCCAAGTCATGTTTCTCTCTATAGCATTAAGTTCTTCTTTCATGGCCTGCAACCAAACTTGCTGCTTAAGAGCCTCTTCCGTACTCACGGGTTTAGAGTCTACTAACATTGCACACTGAATAACTTCTCCTTCATAGTCTACTTATGTGTCTTGCAACATGTCAAACTCCACAAATCTTCTTGGGATGCTTCTGACTCTTTGTTTCCTCTGAACCGGACCTTCAGAACTTTGGACACCAGAACTTTCCCCTTCAGAAGCACTTGCTTCAGAATTTGGACTTTCTCCAAAACCTTGACTGTCTTCAGAGTCTGGATCACCATCGGAGTCAGAGTCATAATCATCTTCTCCTTATGTATCTTCTTCAGAGTCAGAGTCTTTATCGGCTTCAGAAACATGTATTTCTGACTTTTCTTCAGAAGTTCTCTCATTAGAGTCAGGACGAGACTTTTCCCAGTTCTAAACTTCTGATCCTCTACAATGACCTCTCTGCTGAACTCAACTTTGTTAGTTTCTGGACAATAAATTTTGTACGAACTTGTACTGTAGTACCCCACCAGCAACATCAATTTACTTCTATCATCCAACTTCTGTCTTCTGGCTTCTGGGACATGTTTAAAACATACAGAACCAAAAACCTTCAGATGACTAACACTTTGCTTATCTCCATTCCACTTCTGAATAGGAACTATTTCCTTCAATTTCTTTGTTGGACATCTGTTGAGCACATAACATGCAGTTACAACAGCTTCTCCCCGGAGTATGAGGAAACTTCTTCTCTTTCAGCATGCTTCTCACCATATCAAGCAAATTACAGTTTCTTCTTTTAGCAAGACCATTGTATTGAGGAGTATAAGGAGCAGTAACCTCATGCTCAATTCCATTCTCCTCACAAAAACTTCTGAATTCTGTGGAGTTATACTCACCACCACCGTCAATTCTAAGAATCTTCAGAGTCTAGCCACTCTGATTCTCAGCCTTCAGTATGAAGTTCTTGAATTCAGCAAACACCTTGTGTTTGAACTTTATGAGAGATACCCATGTCATTCTGGTGAACTCATCAACAAATTACACAAAATATTTATTCCTTCCAGTCGATGTTACTGGAAACGGACCGCACACATCAGAACGTACTACTCCCAAGGCATGTTTTTCTCTTGGAGCTACTTCTGATGCAAATGGTAATCTTGGTTGCTTCCCTTCCATGCACACCTTGCATGACTTTTCAGGCTTCTTGATTGTAGGAATTCCATGTACCAGATTCTTTGATTTTAGATGCCCTAAACTTCTAAAACTCAGATGACCAAATCTTCTGTGCCACAGCTCACTCTCCTTGACAATAATTGTTGCACTAAGATATTCAGAGTCTGCAGTTCTAACATTCACCTTGAATGTTTCGTTCCTTCCTTATTCTGACTCCATAATCAGCTTCTGATTACAATCATACAGCTTCAGAAGATTGTCCTTCATGGTAACTGAAAAACCTTTCTCAACCAGTTGCCCACACTCATCAGATTTATTTTCATGCCAGGTACATACCATACATTATGGATCACTGCTGCTTTCTCATTGTTTAGAATGATTTTGACATTTCCCATACCTTCTCCATTGAGGTATTTATCATCAGCACATTTGATCTTTGTACTCTTCCCAGAGTCAAAATCAACCAACCACTTATTGTTCCCAGTAAGATGGTTTGAACACCCTGTGTCCATATACCACCATTATGATGAATTCATATCATCAGGTTCAGAAGTCAACAATAGCACAAGTTCATCATCAAACTCTCCTCTTGCTATATTTGCTTCTTCTGACTTCTTTTATTTGTTGGACCGGAAATCTCTATCATAGTGACCAAAGTTCTTGCAATAATAACATTGAACATTCTTCTTGTCAGACTTCTCCTTTACCTTTTGGACATTCTTCTGCCTATCAGAGTTTGAAGCTTCTAACCTTTGACCACCATTAGTTTTCTTCCTGGCTTCTGACCAAGTCTTCTTTTGATGCTTCTTACCAGAAGTTACCTTCAGAGCCTGCTGCTCTACTTCCCTCTCGGAAGTTCTTGCAGTCATATGCAACTCATGCGCCTCTAGACTACTTTGCAGCTCTTCAACTCTCATGGTGCTTAGATCTTTGGAATGTTTAATTGCTACCATAATGTAATCAAACTGAGAAGTTAAAGATCTCAAGATCTTCTCAATAATTACTTGTTCAGACAGAGTTTCTCGTTGTCCTTCATGTTGAGATACTCATATTACTTTCTGAGAGACTGAAGCTTCGCCTTCTTCACTGATGCGTCACCACCATAACATCTGAACCGTGTGTCCCACGCAGCCTTCGCTGTTTCAAAATCAGCAATCTTCTCAAACACATTCACATCCACATATTGATGGATGTAAAACAACATATTCTGATCTTTCTTCCTCAGCGCCTTCTGTGCTACCTTTTGTGCCTCTA